ATATTTCAGCTTATGTGTGTGTTGCATGACTTACAGAGTGAACAAACAGAAATTTTCCCTTGCAGGGATCAGTAAAGTAAAGTAAAATCATCATCTTAACAGAGAGAGTCTCACCCAGCATGTTCTCTTCACTGTCTGTCTCTACCTCCTCCTCGCTCTCTAAACATCCTGCTGTACCTTTGTTTCCACCTCCTCCTTCCCTCTGTCTCATACTGACGTATACACATGACAACTACACAGCAGGAGGTAAAGACTAAGTGATGGAAGCAGCCAAAAGTGTTTCTTTTCCATTTTTTGAACCCACCCCTACGCCTGTATTTAATTTCATCTAATCTAGTTGACGAGTCAGAGGACACGACGGGAGAGTCTGGTGGTATGTCATGACTCAGTGTGATCCGTAGGAAAGGCTGTCACCCTGCTTATGTTTGAACACAACCACTATGTCTGTTCAATAAACCCAGGCTGCTGAGATCACCCCAGGATGCATATAAAGGCAGTATATATGTGTGTGTGTCCTTGTTTCTCTTTAATCAGAGAGTGAGTGGAGCAGAACAGAGCGGAGGGTTGAGTCAGAGGCCTTTCTGACTTCAGGCTGGCACTGCTGCCGTCTCAGTACCCTCTCATAACCAGCTCCGCATGTTTCTCAGTCTGTGCACAGAGGATGGATTACTGCCAGTATCTTTTCATCTCGCTGTAATCTCCTCCTCGTATTACCACCAGGGGACCACCTGAAATCAGACATATGGAACTGGATTAAAACCACATACTGCAATAGGTATAAAGTTGCAGTCTGAATGCAATGACTCAGCTCGTCCTCTTTTTTCCCCTCCCTTTTCCCTTTCTTTTTTTCATTCAGTCTCCTTCTTTATAATTGTTTCCCATTTCATCATCACCCTTGCCCTTCATTTTCCATCTCTACTTGCTTGCATTGTTATTTTACCACATGTCAAAATAAAACTTCTATATAACTTCTTATACTGAATCAGTGCCTTTTCAAAACAAGCTTAACTCATGTGAGTTAAATAGCAAACAGATGAAGAGCTTGTAGGATTACAAGCTGCACAAGTCTGAGAATAACTTTGTCAATTTGAGTCTAAGTAACATGTCTAATAAAATAAGTAGTATTATGTCAATATCAATAAAGTATTGTGAAAAGAAATCTTCCTTCATTTCTTTTTTTTTCCACCTTTCAATCCCTCGTTTAGAAAATTAGGCCCCCTTTTCCCATACCTCACATCTTCCTTCTTTGCATTGGTTTTAGGGGGGGAAACATGTTTTTCTCGAGACAAGAAATGAGCTGCCCTTTCTCTGAATCAACTCTTTTTTTTTTTTTTTACTTCTTTTTTTTGCAAGCTGCATTCAATCCAAAGCCCTGTTTTGGATGATAAGTTTGTGTTTCTCTTCTGCTGTGTGTGCATGTTGCAATTCCACAATATTAAATGATGTTGCATTTGACTCTCCAAATTAAGTTGATGTGAAGACATTAGATTTGTCATTGTTTTGTCAGCATCCTCAGTGCCTGACAAAGCCCTGAGCAAAAAGAGTTTCTATCAAAGTTGCTTTATGTGGGCATGTGCTGACCTCTGCTGGTCATATGGAGTATTGAATGAATGAAACCTTTATTGCCCCCTAGGGGAAATTGCCTTGCACAGAGAGCAAAAAAAAACACAATACAAACAAACATTTACAGGACAGCACATAAAAAGACATAAAAACACACTAAAGCATCACATGATTCAATGAGGGATTTCAGCAAGTTAAATAAAGTGCAGAGTGCCGAGTTCGTCCTGTATAATCAGAGCTTATTAAGCAGCTGAATACTGCGCGGTACAAAGGATGTAATGCCTCTTTTAGTCCTTATCCTGGGCATTCTGTACCTGCGCCCTAAATTCAAGAGTTCATACTCTGACCAAAGGGGGTGCAGAGGGTCAGCTGTGATCTTGATGGCTAAATTCAGTGTGTACAGGTCTGTCTGGAAAGAAATGCTGTACATTTGCTTCCCAGTTATCTTACAGCCTAGTTTAACAACCTTGTCCAGTTTGTTCTTATTTTGTAAGGACAATGCTCCTCCCCAACACTGAATACAAAAGGTCAGCACACTTTCAATAAAAGTCTTGTAAATCAGCATAGTGCTTTCAACATTCAAATTTCTTAGTTTCCTCAAAAAATAGAGGCGCTGTTGAGCCTTTGCATACCTTGCATTTGTGTTGGTGTTCCATGTCAGTTTGTTGTCAATTATTGTGCAAGATACTTATACTCTGGTACAATTTCAGTTTCTGTGTCCTTCATATTTACAGGGGAGAGTATATTATGTCTATAGTGAGGAGAAATGTGATTTTCACGTGCAATATTATTTCACTCTGGCTGTAACAATGTTCATAAATCCTTAAAAACATACACAGAATATGTGGCATTTCTTATTATTACCTTCGACAAAAACAGTATATGTCAGTAGAGATTATCAAAATGACACATTATTGATTTAATGGACAAGTTGTGGTGTATTACCAACAATCACTCTCTTCAGATTTATTCTAAACAAATTTAAGTCATGATAAATAAAGTATTGACCAGGCTTTGTGAACCTGATCCTTATATCATGTAAACCCCTTGTTTTATCTTGAATTTGACTTAACATAAACTTAAAATTGGAGTCACCTTTTGTTGAAATTGTGTTTTTGAATGTTTGTATTTCTATTGTTATTATATTAGTTTATCATTTCTAAGTGCATTGAAATATTTTGATGAGATTTTGCTGGCTATATAGGCGAAAAAAAGAGATAGATGGATTAGGCACCTCTTAATCATTTTGTACTAGAAAAAAAAAAGACTTGAACACATTTATTGTGCTGAGGGGAAACAAGTGCAGTGCCTGATATTGGCCCTGAGATGGAGCCATTTAACATGGACCATAGCTAATTACACTCAACATGTAAGATGTATTGTGTTTTCACCATTTTATTCATTTTATTCATTTTAGTTATTTATTTAGAATTACTTTATCATCTTACAACCCTAAATGTTGCTTGCAATTCATCATGCATGATGCAAAAACAATTTAATTTAAATAAATAACTACATTATCTAATATTTCATCCCAGTAAGCAATAAAAATGAAACACATCCCATAGAAAGTGCAATCATGGAGTTTTTTTTATACAAGCTCCATTTCTGGAAGCCATATTCATTTCATGTCATCTCATAATCATCAGCAGCAATTGAACACTTACAAGATTACAAAACATTACATTTGAGTCAATTTTCATTAGAATAAAACCTAAAACCTGCAACAGTTACTGGATGTAAAACATGGATCAAGATGTATCAGAACTAAAAATACACAACCACAAAGGAAACCTTGAGGGAAAAGCTTCAGTGAAACCAACACCTGACAGTGTGGGTTTGAAACTGGTCAACACATTCCTGTAGAGAGTAAACAAGCAACATTTACAGCTACTGGGGGCTCTGCAGACCACAGCTGTTGAACACAGGCAGCTTCAGAGGCCTCAGGAATGTTGTAAAGCAAGACAGCAGTCAGGGAAACTCATCACCCAGCGTTTTCAAATCCTTCTTTTAATTAATTAATTAATTAATTAATTAATTAATATTAAGTTTCCTAAAACAGATGATGCATACTTTTTGGGACAGGGTTGAGTAGCACAACATTTATAATGAATGTTTTTGTAAGGATAAGTTAAGTGTAACTGTGGTACATATGATGGATAGTCAGAAAGTAAAGGTAGAGGGGTGCTTTTTAAAAGTGAAACTTCTGAAAATGTGTTGTCAGGGGTTACCATTTTAAAAGCTTTACAAGAAAGTCGTGGTATGCTGCCTCACAGTAAACTTAATTATGGCTCATTAAGTTACAGCAGACAGTAATGTATAAGGTAAAGCTGTTTCCGTTTGCAGACATGAGCCAAAAATAATAATAATAAACTGCTGTGATTTCATGTTTATCCATGTTATGATACTGATGTTGATATAGGATACAATAAACTAACAGTGAGCTGTCACCTTCACATTATTTGTAATGGTATTTCTTTATACACAGAGGGACGTGTTTGTGATCCGGACAGAACAATTTCCATGTCCCTTTTACTGTGTTGGTATGTTTTTGGTCCTTATGATTAAAAACAATGAGGAGACTTTAGGAAATGAGGCTTTTGTCCTTATACTTCACAGAGCATGCATCAGTTGTCCTGCCATGCCTGAATGATCTCCATGAGCTGTTTCTGTAGACAGAAAAAAACAATAACACAGATTATATTTGGTCATGTCTGTGTCCTGTAAGAATATTTAATTCCTCATATTTAATTCACGATTACAGAAAGTATAGGCCTACACAACCTCAGATCTGACAGCTTGCTTGATGCTCCTGAACAAATGTGTGTTCTAATGTTTCAAGATAAATTTAAAATACTTTAAAGTAAATGGTATCCTTTTCTTCTACTTACTTCCAATGAACACTTTGTGACATTTTTAGAACTTTTCTGTCCATTAACTGAAAAGTTGGAAATGCGTCCTCTAGCGTGCTGGAGGACCAATGTTCTTGTGCTGCGTTTAGGGACTGTCGGAAACATTAAGTTCAGAAGTGAAGCGTTTCAACCGACAGGACACACACACACACACACACACACACACACGAAATAAATATAGGATAGGATTCAAGATTTATTTCGTTTAATCGCCTAGTCAACAGTTGCGAGTGAGCTTCACCGTTAATGAAAATATATTTTTACATTATGATAATTTGTAGTCATATTAAAGCCTACAACCATGTTCATCGCAAACAGTAAATCCGATTGTCAGGTCTATAACTTTATGAGACTGTTTCATCAACTGTATCATTTTTAACAGTGTAATTGTCAACTCTGACCTGCAACACTTGGGCTACAATGAAGTCCTTACTGAGGAAGCTGGGGAATACGAGCAGTAAGTGAACGCCCCATAGGATCCCATTTTTTTAGGAGGGCTGATGTCATTTCAAAACTTAACTCACACTCTTAAGTCAACGCGGCGAGCTGCTCACCGCTTCTTCTCCTGTGAAGTCCCCTAGTCTGTCTGGAGGAACATATTGAAGAAAACAACAGCAGGAGGTGAAATAAACGAAAGAAAGCAGACATTTCTCTACTGGACACGAATCGGGAGGATTTCCTACCGTAAACCCGGGGGACCAGAGAGCCCCTCTTTCTGCGGGCAAAGGCGGCTGAACTTTTTTTTTTTTTTTTTTTTTTTTTTTTAAACTGCAACTTAAAAACAAAATGAATCGGAGCTTTACCAGATCGCAACCTCTACGAAATGCGGATTGTAACGCGGTGGAAGTGAAAAGCAAGGTGAGTGTTTGTGGTTGTAATGTGTAATATCATAAATGAACATTAGGAGAAAAAAAAAAAAGAGAGTTCACATGGTCGACCCCGTAACTGAGCTGGAGTTGTTCCGACAAACTGTCTGCAACAAACCAGACACAATGTCTCCTCTCGACTCTTCATCGTGAAACAACACCTGAACGCACCAGTTCCTAACACGTTTTAGTCATTTGCAGGGATTATCTGCTTCTTCCCTTCCGACCATGCAGCTTCTCCTGAGAGGACTCTATCCCCGTCTCTTTCTGCTCAGCTAATGGGGGGGAAATTGATTTGTTCCTCAACTCCTCTTTCGCATTTGTTACAATGAGAAGGTTTTATCTGAGAGAAGTCGGATGTTTTTGCAACATTTGTTAAGTCTCTACGGATCTACTGCTACATAGTTTCATCCCACGCATTGTTTTGAGTAGTTAGCAAGAGCCTGAGCCTCACAGTGTCGGCTAATAGCTGCAAAAATGAAGTTAACCAGCAAGTAAATGAACACAGTTATGTGCCTGCTTCAGGGTCTTGTAATAGAGAATTGGAAGAAGAGAATTCGCAGTCAAGAATGTCAAACTTCAGGGAACAAACCTGCATAACTGCATTAGTGTCTACTTTGACAAGAGCTAACCAAATAGTTTTTGGTCAAAGAAAAGTCCTGTTTATGATATTTTGGTTCAGTCACTTCTTGTCATGTATGTTTATTAGAAATCACATAAGAAGGGAACATCGCACTGTGCCCAACCCTGACACAAAGTCAGCAAACACTGATCTATTTTTGATTTGCCAAATCCTTTCAAGGACTTCTTGTCAGCAACATTTTTTCTCTGAATTCCATTACCAGGAAGACAATGCAGACTGGTATTTATACGTATGAGTTCACACATGCCAGCACACATGAGTGTGAGCACATACATGAAGGATGAGCACCTGAGTCAAAGGTGAGCGGTCAGATTGAGATGCACGAGCAGGTGACTCATTCTGTAACCAGGTTTCAGCAGGGTGTTGTTGTTGGTGACCTTGGGAATGCTGTGACAGGCATCAAATCCACTGGGACTGTGGGTGAAAAGAAAACAAGGGTACATTATCTATTCCAGGGTGGGCATGCTGCATCATTACAAAGCTGTGTTTTTTGTTTGAGCCAGGGTGGATTTAGTGTTTACTTCTTCAACAGAAAGAGGAGTAGGGTGGTCTTTGTGGCTTGCAGAGATTGTTTGTGGTTGGGACTTGATGAGCCCAGAAGCTGCGTGGCTGGAACGGGCAGGTTTTTATCAGCGTCATCACTGCAGAGCTGACTCACCAGGTTTCCCTTTTTGGATCGGACAGAATGCATCACTCGTGTGACGTCCTTTTTGTTCTGCTTCTGTTTTGGTTTGTGACCAGTTTGTCACACCGGTCGCTGTCTTCTAAATGACAAACGTGCTGGCCGCAACCACATTTAAAACGTTCTGTTTTAAATGAACCAGGATGACAGTTAAGCACATTTGAATAAAATACTCTTATCAAGCAGGTTCCTGCAGGACTGTTGAGTCTCTCTTTTTGTATGTGTGAAAGCATCAATTAAGAATTTTCAGCACCCACTATCCTGCTTGTAGTGTGTTCCCAGTGACAAAAGTAGGCTATGAATAATCTTAGGATTCCCCAGTCCCATATTAAAACTCAAAATCAATCCAGTAGCTCAAAAAGCTGAACTGAGTGTCTGTGACCTGATGATCTATTTCAAAGTGCATATATAAAATTGCGCAAATCAGGCTGTGCAGGCAATTTAACTTAGAAGAAGTAAGGAAGCCAAAGCTGTTCAGAGGAATCCCAAGCTCACTATGTTCAAGGATCTTCTATAAGGCTACATGCAATATCTTCAAAAGTTGTCAAAATTTGGTTTTCAAACTTGGAAGAGAGAAGTTGCGGCTCATGTCACATCAGTGGAGTCTACAGTCTAATTTAATGAGGCCAAATGATCTTTCTTTCTTTAGAATCCCCCATTAGCAGCAGCATACACATTGGCTATTCCTCCTGGGGTCCAGCACACATACAGTCATCCTCACTTATACACATTACAATATCACAAAACCAACGTAGACAAACAGCCAGACCAGCTCCTCTGATAGAATGAAAGCTAGTACAGAAGAGACTTGAAAAAAAATGGCCGTTCACACAAAATCGTCTTCAAACTTCAGATCAGACTTGATTTTCCGTTTTACATACAAACAATATAATATCCATACATTTTGATACACATAAATCATTGTCTGAATGACCTTTATAACTACCTAAATAAATTGAATTGTTTCTTTTTCTCCAAAACAGCAACCTACACAGCAATAACAAAATACCATGGCGACCACTAGTACATGTAACTATTGTTTAAAAGTAACAGGGAGGACTAGTTTCAGGTATTTTTATGTAAGGATGACAAACAACAACAGTGTGCTGCTAGCAGAAGTTTAATGATAGTCGAAGCTAGCAGAATGTTAGCATTGGTCCAGATGTCTTACGCCTCATGTAACATTTTAAGATACATTTGGATATTCTTGGTCGACTAAGAATCTTTACACACATGGCTATAGCTGCTTAGTTCAAAGCTCTTCCATCAAGCGTTAAATGATCGTTTACCTTTTAAGAAATAATCCCCAAAGTCTGTAAAAAAAAAAATAATAATAATAATACGTTTGTCCTCGAGAAAACTTTATCAAATTGTTATGGAACTTAAGCTTCTAAATTCACTGGATTGTGATGGAATTTATGCGTCCATATTTACTGGATTGCCTTGGGCAGATACTGGTATGTTTGTGTTCTGTAAAGTTAGTTGTTTGGGGTCCTTGTGAGCCGTGGTTCTCATGGTTCACGTTTGGTTTTCTCAGGGGAAACTGTTCCATTGATAAGCTTATCAGGGATAACACTGGAGGTGTCTGGCGGCCTGTCAGGGAGCCTTGGCAAGGAGCTGGTTTCACTCGCTTAAATCTCTTATCAGGGTAGGAAAGAGTTTGGAAGGACGGAGGGGGATGGAAAGGATTTTTGGATTTCTCCCTTTCCCCTTATACTTTTAATTTATCCTAGCATTAAGGTATTTCAGTTCGAGGCCTGATCCATTTTCAAGAGTCATTCTGTACATCGCGTTGCATGTTTCTTTATTCCTGAGGTGTCTCTGACTTTCAGAGATTCAAAACAAACCCAGTGTATGTGAAAGACAGAAGTCAGTTATCTTACTTTTCCTCCAGTGTGTCAGAGTTCTCCTGACATGTTTCGGCCTGTTGACATCGCTCTGCCCTGATAGGCCAGAAGGACAAGTGATGTCACGTTTGTACTGATATATTCTTGGTTTTTTGTTTTTTTTCAGTGCTGAGGCACATGATTAATCAAACCGTGTTCAGACTTGTTCCTACCAGAGGGCCGAGTACTTGCAAAAAACGGATTTTTCAGACTGATCAGGAAGAGCGTCGCAGAGAGAACATTGAGATTGGAAGGCATGACTGTGCTCTCTGATATGCAGAAGAGTGAATATGTGAAGAGTTACATACGCGTTGAAGTCTTTCCGTGTTAATCACAGACATTTTTGTGTGTGAGTTTCACTTTAACAAAATGTTAAGTACACCTACTGAATACTAACAAACCTGTCTGTCGACTTCTTGTGTCATCTCAAGATGTAGATTGACTTTTATTAGCATTCATGCAAGTGGAGTGTCACCCTGTAGAAATGCAGGTTAATGGTTGAGTCTCAGTTTGCCTGAAGGAAATTTGCCAACAGACCACACGCCTGCCTGGCAACCCCGCTGTTCTCCCAACACGCCTCCTCTTAAATTCACATGTCATCTTCTAATTGCAGAGTTGTTTAATGTATCCCCCGATCTTCCCTTTTGCCTTCCTGTCAGTAGCCTATACTACTATTCTGTCAGCACTTTTCCTCCCCCTTCCCACCTCTTTCTCTTTCTCCATGATCATCATCTCATCTCCTCTGTTGTCAGATTCCCTCCACTGTGAGCTGATGATTACACTAACAAAAAAAACACCTTAGTCTTCAAATTACCGCTGTGATTTAAACACCAGAGCTGCTACTGTGATTGTCTGTTGTTGTGGTTTATGGGTGTTTTTTTTTATGCCTCAGTTGTATCTCTCTCTCAAGTCCATTCTTGTCTGTGAGTCACATGATGACCCCACAGTGACCCTCAGACTTGATCTCATTGGTGGTTTGGTGACCTAGCTGGGCAAGCCCCACCACAATGGTTCAAATCTGTGCTCTTGTGCGTAAACGGTGGGTGGGAGGTGGAGCTGCCTGCCACTGTCATTTATTTAGTGAAAAGAAGCTTAGTCATACCTGTATTGTTCTATTGTACAGCAACCCTCTTCCCCGTTTCCTGTTTTAATTGGTTAAAGTTAGACTGTATGTGATGTGCAATATAGGCTACACCTTTTTGTATTGATGAGGTCATCTCGCTTAGTTTAGCATAAAGCAGCTTCATTTTTGTTTTAGCTAAGGTGATTAGCCACATCTCCTCTTGTTAATTTAGTGAGCCTCATAAACAACAACAGACCCATGCAATAAAGGGATAGTTAAACATTTCAGACATGTATTCACTTCAAAATAGTCTCTATACTATACAACACATGAAGGCACGGCCACTAACTAGTTATATGGAACGCTAGCTTATGTCTGTCTAAGCTAACAAAGTCATCCTAAAGCTAAAAAATAACCAGACATTCCTTTGGTTGAATTTGCTCATCCTCATGACTGATACTGAACTATGTTATACTTTGTTCAACAAGGGATAGGCCATGTCAATGGTTGGCAGCAGCTGGTTAGCTTTAGTTTAGCATGAAGATTATAAACAGGAGAAAACAGCCAAGTAGCTAGGGTGCTGTGAGCATTAAATAAACAAGATATTATAATGTGATGGTTGGTTAGCTTCAGAGGTGCTTCCAGGCAGGTTTCGTGGCCCTTGTGAGAAGTGCCAAGCTAGCTAGTTCACTGTTTCCTGTTGTCCTATTTGAAGCTATCTGCAGCTAGCTTTAGCTTCCCAGTTAAAGGCCTGACTGTGGTGTTCATCATCTTATTACTATAGGCCAGTTTATACATTCAAAACATGTCTTCTATTTCTTTAAATACACTGCATTTGCAGTATGAAATACTGTTTTCTCTAAAGACTAATCTCATAACAGCATTCATCTTTATCTGGTTAGGAGGTATTTTAGAGTATAGATGTTTAACCTCTGCTTTCAAACACTACAGATAAAGATAAACTGTTTTGATCCCCCATGGGGGAAATTTTTGCGTTACAGCAGCTCAAGAAAACAGGAATATAATTATTAAAAATGAAAATAGAAGTTAAAAATCAAACATATTTACATGAGTTAAATAAAAAAATACAATAATAGAATATTACAGGGTATAAATACAGGAAACTCATAAGCAAAGGTCAAACAGAAACTTTCATTTTAAAATATTTTAGTTTTCTACACATGAGCCTAGGCAAACAGCTGTCTTATTTTATCAATTCTTCAGTCAAAACACCAAAGAAATTCAATTTTTAAGCATAAAACCAAAGTAATTTAGAGAAGCATGACATGTTAAACTGTTAGTGTGTTTGTTTGGAGCTCTTGTTTTGGCATTTGTCTAAGAGAGTGTATTAAGCAAATATTTGAAAAGCGATACTGCTTTGACTTTGTGCAAACCAGTTGTGCTAAGGGTTGCAGCAAATTAAGTATTTATTGTGCTTAGGAACAGCTTCCCTTGTGCCAAATTTAAAACAGGGTCAAGACCACAGCTTTGTTAGTTTATGTGTGCCAGGCAGATGGTTCAGATAAGTGCATGAGGTCTGACATCCTGGTTTTCCTTTTTCCTGTTTGGATGTCAAAGTGACTGTCCCTTTTTTTTTTTTTTAACGGCCTCTCTCTCTTGTGATCTTTCTTTTACAGTATGGGGCTGAATTTCGCCGGTTCTCTGTTGACCGGGTCAAGCCTGGCAAGTTTGAGGAGTTTTACAAGCTCATCCTGCACATTCACCGCATCGCCAACATGGAGGTGATGATCGGCTACGCTGACATTCATGGTGATTTGCTGCCGATCAACAACGACGACAACTTCTGCAAGGCGGTATCGACGGCTCATCCGCTGCTGAGGATCTTCATACAGAGACAAGGTAGGATGTCTGAAAAACATTAAAGACAGATTGGCTTCCTTTGCTGCATTTTTTTGAACATGATGTAGTTTTTTTTCTCAGAAGTCAATCCATACACTTTTTTTAATTTCATAGCTCAGAATTTGAAAAAAATAAAAGTTATTTATTGACACTTCACATTTAGAGCAGGTCTAGACTATACTCTTTCTAATATACTTTAAAGACACTCAGCATTAATCCACCACTGAGCAAGCACTTTGCAATAATGTTGAAGAAAAAACTTCCTTTAAACAGGCAGAAACCTCAAGCAGAAGCAGATTCATTAGTGAGCTGCATGGGCCAAGAAAGCGGGATAGATACAAAAACAGAATCCATAAAATGTCTCTCAAACACGAGAGAATAGATTTATGTTTGATGAATATTGGTTTTTAAATATTCTTCAACTGGTAAACCTATAAAGCAGTCATCTTTTGCAACAACTTGGCCTTGGGCTGCAAGCATTTTGCTGACTAGAATGAAGTATACCCACAGAATATTTCCTCACCCAATCATCCCTTTCCTCCCACTGGGGAACTCAAGTCCGTTTTGTTTACTTCATGCGAGCTTTCTGCGTGTATTTGTGTGTGTATTTGTGTGTGTGTTTGTGTGTTTCCTTTTCCAGTTATTGGCTGGATCAGTCTCAGTCTGTGGCTGTCTGTCTGCCCGGCTAAGTCCTGTGTCTTATCCAAAGGAAGGGCTCGCAGGCAGATGATCACACACACACACACACACAAACAAAACACACACAGACCCGCACGCACACACACTCACAGGCCGGTGCCTCTGCAACCCAATAGAAATCAGGTCATTGAGCAAAGCCTGTATCCCGGCATACCAGACATTACTGCGAGACAAAAGATCTGCATGAAAGAGAGACTCCTTACTGAGCCCTCCGTTTGTGTGTGCATGTGTGTGTGTGTACTTATTTGTTCAAAAGACAACATTACGGGACCCTGAATGGGAACAAGTCCTCGTCACTCTCTCTCTCTCTCTCTCTCTCTCTCTCTCTCTCTCTCTTGCCAACTTTCTCTCATTGATCCAAACTCTGGAGTGGGTCTTGCCTGTCTGCCTGGCAGCCAGCAAGCATACCAATGAATCCATCGCCATTCACATCTATTCAAACCCACAATCCTTCTTGGAATGTCCCTCGCTCGATTGTGTAATGAACATGTGCACTCCACAGAATTGTTTTAATTGTCGTTTAATAGATGAAATACAAAAGCAAAGCCACAGTGCGGGAAATGATCTTGTTGCAAATGTTAATCAAGAAACGGACTGGATGTTAAAAGGTCTCCTTCAGAGTGTGACTCAGTGTCTCGGAGCTCATATGGATAGAGACGAATTAAGCTGTTGTAGAAGGACGTCTGCCAGAGATGATCAATGTCAAAATGAAAGTTTGGATTTCATATCAACCAACTTTGTTTGGAACTTTTGAAACACGTATTCAATTCCTGTTTGTGCTTTGCAAAAACAGAACTGAATTTCTCTCCAAGATCTTTTTATGAACCCCCTCCTCCTTTAGTGAACAAAAAGGGAAAATGTTGAACGTCTTAACTGTTCTTTCTTTAGGCAAAGTAACTCCCTTCATCTATTTTATGAAGCTTGAAAAAACATTATTTCGCAAAAAGATGGTAAGGCTCCGTGATTCTGACACATTTCATCGGCTTCAAACTTGCTTCAAACTTGCAAGAAGTTTCGTGCCAGACCATTTTATCTTCTGTTTTTTAATGTAAAGTCTTTGTATAACATGTCATAATTCAGTCCTTAGACAAATTCTTCGTGTATTGGTGTGAGATGCAAAGGTCGTATACAGTTAAGGTTACAGATGCATAGTGTAGGATAATTGACTTTGTCTTTTTCTCTTAAATTAGATTATTTTTGTCTCACTTTCCCTTTCTGACACACTTATCCAAACAGAATAATAAAGTGCAGTAAAGATGTGGTGGCTCTTACACAGGAGCCTGTCTCTTCTTTTTTTTGTGTGGTGTAAACACAGCGCTGACAGGGTGATGAGCTGCAGGGGAATGTGCACTGTTGTGACTGATGCTGAGGCAGTCCGAGCATCTTAAGCCTCACTGCGGCCTATTGTTAGTCACTAGACAAAGAGTAGTGTGTGTGTGTGTGACTGTATGAGTACCTCATGTCTCAGAAGAGCTGCCCTGCGATCAGTACAATACATGCACGATAAAGTGTGTGTGTGGTAATGACCGTATCACTCCGTACCAGCCTGTAAGTATACAGGTCACTGTGTATTCACTTCTGTCCCGGTCAGCACAGCAGACCACCAGAGATGAAAGCCTTCACACACTGTGAGTCATACTTCAGTCAGAGCAGAGACGTTCAGAAATGTGTCAAGGTCTTTTAAATGGATATGAGTTCAAGACGTCAACACTGTTCTTATGTCTCCTTCAGTCTCACTGTTATATCAAAAAGTGTTAAAGGATCATGTCAGATGCAGTAAAAAGTTGTGACAGTGTATAAAACATTCCCTTTGAATAGAAAAGCTGCCTGTTAGAGCAAGCCATTCAACACCCTCAAGCTCAAGGCTACATGATACATAGAAGTTAACCGTTTAAAGGTGACCTCTGCAAGATCGCCCGTGTGTCTTTTGTCCATGTAACAATTGGTGTTATTACGTGTGTGTGCGCCTCTCTTTTATCTACCTGACACCCCCCCCCTTCCGGGGCTTAAGTTTTCATTGTTGGTCTGTTCATTTTGAGCACGTGCAAGCAGTTGACAGCTGATACAGACAACAATCGGCCTGCTGATGATACCTGTTGCTCTGTGTGTGTGTGGGGGGGGCTCACAGTCACAGTCACTTTAAGTTATTAGCCTATACCCTCCCCTGGGATTAATAAAGTATTTCTGATTCTGATTTAATCTTGAACTTTATTGATTCCTAAAGCTGACTTCAAAGTGCTCCATCCATCCAAAATATTTAATCTCAGTAATCAATCTTATAGAGCAATATAACACTGAAAATGAGAAAAAAAAATCCTTGTTAATTGTTTCCATAATGACTGAAACCACATGCAGTCTGATTGTAACATAATGATTTACATACACACAGTAGATGAGACAGGACTAGTCATGCACCACAGAGCAGTGCAGGCATGTTTAGTGGGATGAATAACTATGTCGGTTATTGAGTGACTGCTATGTAAACAACATTGGGGGACTTGTGTGCTCTGCAGTGTTTAAAATGTGTCCTGTCTTACTTTATAAAGTAGATTTTAAAAAGGCACAAGAAGTAGGCGTAGAGACAGTTTTTACTAAATGTAAGAAATCCAATGTCATTTGTAACTTACAAACTACATAACTTGTTGTGAAGGGTAATCCACCTTTTCCTCTTTAATTCTTTAACAATACTCAAACTCATGCAACCTCTGCTATTTTATATAAAGTTTTACAAGAGGTGTTCTGCAAACACTGTCAAAACTACTGAGGACAAATACCAGTTTGTAGATGGTGCTGGTTTTTGGGGGGAGGGTAGACTCTGCACAGGGAAGTTTTGTACTGGGACACTTCTACATTTCTTATGCAGACACAAACAGGAGGGGGATGGGCGAGCCAATGATGGGAAGAAGTGGGACGCATCAAAAGGTTTAAGAGCACAGAGGAGTTGAGCGCAGTTGGACTCCTTGTCCTTTTTTCAATGTGTGGGCGTGTGATTGTAGTCCTTCAGTCGTGTGTGTTGGACCGATGGTTTTTACATGTTGGTCCATGTCGTTTAGTTTCCAGTTAAATGCATATTGGTTACAAATTTCCAGAGAAATGTTGACATTGTGACATTTTGTCAAAGGTTTGTGTAGCTTGTGGAAGTAGTAACTGATCATACATATCCCCATTTGTGTGCAAAATGATGCAAATGAGGTTGTAGATAAGAAGAACACTGCTAGTGCTGGAAGAGTTATTTCAGGCCGTGATAACGCAGACCTTTTTAGTTCTTGGTTTTCCGCATTTCACACGCGTGTTTTACTGTAATAAAATGAAATAAAACATTGTAAATGTTTCTCGTTCCAGATAAAAATACAGTGGATAGGGGATAGTTAGCTTGTCTTTTTCCCATAAACAATATTTCTGAAGTAGATTGGGACCTGTGAGTTAATGTGTTAAAAAGGATATGAGACAGTTAAAGTTTGATACAGTCTTTCAGGTGTTGTTGCATACATACATAGCTACTCATTTCCCATAAAGTGATGTCTTAAGCAATCTTGATAGTGTAAGCAAAGTGGAGGAATAGTAGGGTTTAAATAAGGCAATGCACATTGAATCTGCTGTAAGTTTTACCTAATAACGGACAAAAACGAGATCCAAGCAAAACACGGGCTTGGATTCCGAAGCTCGATTTCTTTTTTTTTTTTTTTTTTTTTAAAGGGAAAATAGAGTTGTTTTTGTAGACAGTGCCAGTGGCCTGCACACAGACTAAACTTTCAACATGGAGAAGAGACCCCTGTTTGGCACAGGGCTAAAAGTTTAAATAAATAGAACACACAAGGTAGGCCAAGGTCGAGCTGGCGAGGCTTCGTATCTGGCATGTTGAGTTTGGTGGTTCCACACCTATGAAAACTGGAGGGCTAAGATATCCACATCAGCCAAGCTAAAGAGAGATGTAGCACCAGGAATCAACGCAGAAATAAAAACTCCAGTGAAAGCTGACGAACAGGCCAGTGGTGTTTCTCAACAGCTTGATTCATGCAGTCGACTGGAGTTCAAACAAATGCCAACATTATTATGTTACATGCTACTCAGACTGTGTGCACTTTTTGTCTACTTTCCACATTTGACTCTTTTTCATTTTCCTTTTTTGCATTAGTTAAAAATATATGTGTTTACAGAACAAAGTTTGGCAGGCTGTGCAAAGAGAGGTGTTGGTTACTCCCACGACTCTTCAGGGAGGAGCACAGGTAAACCTGAGGCAACTTTGTGAGCAAAAGTTCATTATGTGTTTCAATGTTTTTAGTCATCACCCTAAGGTGCTT